TGCTGACTCTTCTTCCAGAGGACCTGAGTTCAATTCCCAGCACCCACATGGCAGCTCACACCTGTCTGAAACTCCAGTTTCAGGGGACCCCGACACCCATGGCAAAAACACAAATGCACATAAAACCAAAATAAAATATATTTTAAAAAAAAAAGAAGTATTTTCTTCAAAGATATGGACCAACAGTTTCAGAGCAGTAAGCTAGTTGCCCGATAGAGTGAATCAGGCATGTCTCACAGCAGAGCCCAAGTCATCCAGCATGTGTCTCTCACCACAGCCATGGACATCCCCACAGGCTCAAGACTCACCTAGATGATGTCAGGCCCCGGATGAAGACACTCAGCTCTCCAGTGTCTACGGGGATTACCTCTCCATTGAGGTCCCTTCTCAAATGTCATTCCTTCAAAGATGTTCTGCCTCATCTGTACCCAATCTAAAATCATCGCCCCACATTTATCCACTTTCCTTTCCTTCACAGAACTCTCACAACCCGACATTGCCCTGTATACCTATTTATTCGCTACTATAACGTCCTAGCTACCGCATGAACTGAATGGACTGACTGTCGTGGTTACAGAGTTCCCCGTGCCTAGAACAGCGCTCCCAATCCAGTGGAGATTCGGTCTCTAAAGAAATGAGTAAATAAGTGAGTGAGTGAGATCCTTAGAGTGGTTTTTTTGTTGGACATCTGACACTCCAAAAACTGTCAAACATCCTCTAGCGGATGAGGAGGAGCCCAACCCTGCCTGCCACCAAAAAAATCCTATCCTACACCCAGGGCCCGGAATTGGAAAGGGATAAACCTCTACACGTATTCCACTTACTACTCCTGAATAGCCTGAACGACGCTACTGGGATTTTTCATCCATCCCAGATAACCTATGGTTTACCCTCTCCTGCAACCTCCATGCCTCAGAGCTCCCAGCCTCAGCACCAATCGACCCTATAAACAAGCACTGCCCCTCTCACCTCTGCTGTCAAATGCATTTTAACCCCTGCCTGTCCTTCCTTAGGGCCCTGCTCATCCCTCCCCCGCCCTCTTCATGCTAAGAGTTAACTTCTCTGCTTCACTAAGATACTCTGTGTCGTGGCACTAACGTTAACTGTGAAGTGAGTAAAATTCAGCTCAGGCGTGCAGCTGTGTGTAGATGGCTCACATCTGTAGTTCCAGAACTCAGAAAAGGGAAGCAGGAAGATGTTAAGGTCAAGATCAACCTGAGATGAAGAACCTGCTTCAAAGTGTGTGTGTGTGTGTGTGTGTGTGTGTGTGTGTGTGTGTGTGTGTTCACATACGTGTAACTGGGTCAATGAAGAGACATTCTTTTTAATTGTTTAATGTCATCATGTGACGCCCAGTGAGCAGTGCTCTCAAGAAAGGGTTATTGTTCCAGGGTAGCCAATCAAAGGGGTTTCCACGGCAAAAAATCAGGGAGTCACCAGATGCAGCTGTGATGGAAGGTAGAATGGTTTTGCTGGCTATGGTAGCCAGAAACCCTGAGCTGCGGGCATCAAAACCTTCCACCTTCCATTTCCCAAACCAATTCTTACATTTTTTTTTATTAATTCATTCATTTTAACGTGTGTGGGTGTTCTGCCTGTGTGATATGCACTATGTGTATGCAGTGCCTATAGAGGCCAGAAGAGAGCATCAGACAGCCTGGACCTGGAGCTAGAAATGGTGGCGAGCTGCCATGTAGATACTGGAAACTGAACTCAGGTCCTTGGAAAGAGTAGTCAGTGGTCTTAACTGCTGAGGCATCTCTCCAGTCCTTTCCCCAAGCCAATTCTAACCAAAGAAAGCATGCAGCCATTCAGCTCAGTCCAGTTTCTGATCTCTAGCTATTCTCTAATGCCTATTACATCACCTCCCACGTAACTGGAGTCCAGCTTACATCCTTAGCCTCAAGTACCACAGCCTCATGGGATGAGTCACAATGTGAGCACCAAGTCCGGCCACATCTGAATACTGTGTGTGCCTACTAAGAGCACAGAACCCTCAATTTTTACCAACCCCAAATCAAATGAATTAAAATCTTTGGTAATGGGTTTAGCCAGATACATGTGATTAGATCTTAGGTTGGCTCTCATGATTCCTCAGCAAAACAAAACTTAAAAACTGCTGCTCTACTCTGAGCATGATAGCACATGTCTATAATCCCAGCATGAGAGACTGACGCTGGAGGAGCATACATTGAAGGCAAGCCTGGGCGGCTGCCTGGTTACTTTTCTATTGCTGTGTTAAGACACCATGACAAGGTAACTTACAGAAAAAGTTTACTTGGGGCCTACAGTTTTGGAGAGTGAGTCCATAACTGTCACAGCAGGGAGCATGGCAGCAGGCAGGCAGGCAGGCACGGCCTTGGGGCAGCAACACTGAGGACTTAACATCCTGATCCACAAACAGGAAGCTGAGAGAGAAAGCTAACTGGGAATGGTGTGGGCTTTTGAAACCTCGAAGCCCACCCACAGTGACACAAGTTCTCCAGCAAGACCACGCCTCCTAACTCTTCCCAGACACTTCCACCAAGTGGATATCAATCATTCAAATATTTGAGCCTATGGGGATGTTCTCATTCAAACCACCAGCTACAAAATGAGAACCTGTAAAAAAAATGTTTTTAGCCGGGCGTGGTGGCGCACGCCTTTAATCCCAGCACTTGGGAGGCAGAGGCAGGCGGATCTTTGTGAGTTCGAGGCCAGCCTGGGCTACCAAGTGAGCTCCAGGAAAGGCGCAAAGCTACACAGAGAAACCCTGTCTCGAAAA